CAGGGCTATGGGCAGTGTCAGTGGGCCCCTGGAGCTCGTGTGAGGGCCAGAATGTGCAGGGGTCACACACACAGATGAGCTGCAGGTCAGGGCTGTCACACCTGCACCAGTATTCACACAACTATCTCTCTCTCAGAACAAGATCATGAATAGTCCGATGTTAAAATTCCGGGACGCTTTGCTTCGTCAACAGTTTCACTCAAGACGTCATTGCTCCGATGGACTTTCATTTCACCACCGGCGGGATGATGATCAGAGCAATGACGTCTTGAATAAAGTAAATTAAATTGAATTAAGTAAAGATGACTCAAACATGCATGAATCAATAAATACAACTTCAGAGGGTCAATGAGAAGGAAACAATTATAAGATGTTTAAAAGCTACAAAAAGATGAGGTAACATTTTATTTTGGGTACACTTACTAACATCTGACTACCTGCTTATTAACCTAGTTGTAGATGGTTAATTTGTCATTAATTAGTATTTATTCAGTCCTTATTAATGTCTAATTTACATTTACATTTACAATTTTCCTATGTATACACTCCTTATTACTGCTTATTACTATGATACTAAGCCATTTTTGTCCATGAATTATGATTCTAATAAGTAGCACAAGAAATGTAGTTTTTACTTATTTGCACTTAATAAATGTAGCTTACTCATGTAAATGAAACACTCCATATTAGGTGTTAATAGAGTCCAACTAATGATGAAAGAAGTCTGAATGAAGAATGAAGCTCTGAATATTTTCTCCATTCTAAAATGAAGTTTTGATTGTAGCTAATAAATGACGAGTTTGACACAGATTAAAATGAATATGGTCACTATTCTAAAGTGTTTTTTCTTCACACTTCATTCATGCATTGTAACCGGCATGTTAATAGTTCACATATGAATAAGTGATAATAAGTGGTTGTAAATAAAATAACTATGAACAATTACATTGTTTTCAAGTATATTCTAGTCTAGGTCACCTTTACCTCAATCAGCTATATTAGAATACACGTATTTCATTATATTTATTTACCATAAATAAAATAGAAATTTTAACTGAAATGAATGATACTTTAATAAAAACAGAAACATGTCATGTGTAGCAGTCTGTACAGTTTTAACACTGTACACTTTACAGTACAATCAAAGTTACATAACAACTGCTTTAACTATCTTCATGACTCTGATTTTCCGCAATCAGTAAGTTGAAGACAAACTGACAAAGTAACTGTATTCACTGAGGGATTTATTGAGGGTATAAATTCTTGAATGCTTTAGATTGAGACAGAGATGAGTTTTTATTTCTCTATATGCTACATTTTGAAATATTTTCAATTGAATACAAATGTTGATATTTATGTCTATGTATTTCATCAACTGTTACGGTTCAAATAAAATCTGATCTATTACATCAAATATAACAGTTCATTAATAATTGTTTTGTACAACTACCTATTCATATGTGAACTGTTAATAAGCATGTTACAATGCATGACTGAAGTGTACTAGTCCTGAACAACACCAAAATCTTATTACAATCACAATTCATGGACAAAAATGGCTTAGTCTCAGTAATAAGCAGTAATAAGGAGTGTATTAACAGGGAAGTGTTTGTAAATGTCTAACTAACAGCAGAATAAACTTATGGGGAATTAGACATTAATAAGGACTGAATAAATACTAATTAATGACAAATTAATCATCCAGAACTAGGCTAATTCGCAGGTAGTTAGATGTTAAGAAGTGTACCCAAAATAAAATGTTACAGTTTCTTCACCAACAACAGAGCTGGACTTTTTTTTCTTTCACATGTGACGTTTTGTTTCATTCACACATATTTAACACACAGAATCTGTATGTCTGTATATTCTTCTTCTCTCAAATAGAAAACACTCTATTCCACCTTGTGATGTCATGTGGTAATATAGAAAATGTTCCACTGTGTTTTTAAACTTCATATACATTCATTAGATTCACTGGGATCATTTCAGTCCTGGAACTGCCCATCTTTACTAAACGAAAGGTAAAAGGAGATGTTCACTTGAAAACTACCACTTCATGACATCACAAAGTGGAACAGAGCATTTAGATTTTTGGAGATGTAGACAGACTAATAATGAAGAGTTTCTCAAACTCTGTAGAATCAAGTACAATGATGACATTTAAAAAACATATAAAATCGAATGCAGTGTGTATGTATGAAAAAGAAAACTAAGTTGTTGTGTATAATAATGAAGATTACTGTTTGCAGTTGATCAGTAATTGTGCCTGAACTGATATGGAATGTTTCGTAACTATCAGTGTTGATGTTTTGTCTTGAAAAAGGAAAGGGGGGCAGATAACATAAGATTTTTTCTTCTTTCTGCTCCTTTTCATTCATTTCTTGTGTGTCTGATGTTGTGACACTGTCGATGTCTTTTTATGCTTTATGAATGAAATAAATAAATAAAATAAAAATAAATAAATAAATAAACATGTGGATGTAACAAAACACAACTCCAGGTCTGTTTTTGAGGAGGTAACAACATTTTAACATGACTTAAAGCTCACAAGAGTCAGTTTTGTGACATAAAGTTGTACTATAACTTTTTGGTGAGGTGTGACCTGTTTTTGTTGCTTTGTCTTAGATGGTCTACAGTATGGCATTGAACTTGTTTATCTAACTTTTTTAATGCTCAAAAATGCACTTTGAAAAACCACATAGGAAAAATTTGTCATCTGCATTTGACCCATTTTTCAGTGCTGCTGAGACACCTCATCAGACACAGTGGGATCTTGAGCTGGTCTTGGTCAGGAGAATTTGACCTCCAGGTGCCCTCAGGACACCCACCCACCCACACAGGGAGAGGCGGGCAAAGTACTGCATTTCATTACTAGAGTTAAGTAAAAACAATGAAGACAAGACCAAGAAGTAAAAGTACTGTCAAAGTCAAGATATCAAAGTACTATGTATTGAAAGTACTTTTTTATTAATCAGTTTTGTGAATGATAAAAAGAATAAAAGTACAGAAGGTTGCTTCAAAAGACAAATGTACATTGCACTTTTGTCCTTGGTTTAGTCTAAACTACAGAACTGTAGTAAAAGATGATTAGATATTTGAATATGAGATATTTGCTTATAGGAATTCAATGAGCCTACAGTATATGTGTACATTTATTATGTCCAAACATGTCCAACATGTCCATGTTGTGAGTGTGACATGCGTGGCCTCTGCAGGGAGCATCACAACACTTTAAACACATACTGAGGCTTAAATGGACAAAAGACATGGAAATCTCCTCCACAGACCAGATACACCTTCACTGTAATCATTTTAAAATCACTGCACTGGCTCCCTGTGAGATTCAGGATCGATTTTAAAGTTATTTTACTGGTTTTTAAATGTCTTAATGGTCTTGGGGCTTCTTATCTTTCAGAACTGGTTTTACCCTACGAACCCTCACGAAGCCCGCGCTCCTCCGGCAGCAGCTCCTGGTCATTCCCAAAGTCAGGACACACACTCATGGAGAGGCATTTTTCCAATACTACGGCCCCTGTCTATGGAACTGCAGCCGGAGGAGCTCAGGGCCAAAGAGAACATTCATGTTTTTAAGACCCACCTTTTTAGTTTAGCTTTTGATTGAAATCTTATACTTGTTTCTAGTGTATATATTTTATTATATTTATTTATTTTAGGTATTTTTTTAGGATTTCTAATGTTTCCTCTGTAGGAGCCTCTGCACCAGGAGCAGAGGTCGGCTGTGGCTGTTGGGTCCTGTATTCAGCCTCACATCTTACTATGTATCGTTTTATGCATTTTACCATGTTTGTGTGTGTTTGTGTGTGTGTGTGAGTGCATGTGTGTGTTTGGGTTGTCTGGTTGTGTGGGGTCGGGCAGGTGTGGGTATTGGGTTGGTGGGTGGATGGAAATGTGGGACTGTTTTTAATCACTGTAAAGCACTTTGTGTTACAGTTTTGTATGAAAAGCACTTTATAAATAAAGTTTGATTTGATTTCATTTGATTTGAATTATTTCAGCCATGGAATCACCAATCTCTACTGAAAAAAAAAAGTAAAAGGAGCTGTTTACTTGAAAACTACCTCTTCATTCCAACAGAGCATTTGGAGCTTTGGAGATGTAGATAGACTAACAGGGGTTACTCAAACAAGTGTGGATGAAACAACACACAACTCCATGTCTGTTTTTGAAGAGGGATTGGCATTAGAACTCGACTTAAAGCTCAGAGGAGTCCATTTTGCATAATATCGGACTTTTAAGTAACAGTGGTATCATCATCGTGATACGAGAGCATCAAAGGACAGTTTCACCCATGTGAGATTTTCTTACTACAAGCTGCACCTTTTATAATGTTTATACTGTGATGTTCGTTCAGAAGTATTTTGCAGGGTTTACTTGTGTGCTATGTACATATCTGTCCTGGTAGATTTGATGTACTGAAGGTGTGTGACCCTGAGCATTATAGTTTCCTCACTGACTGTTACCCGTTGAAGAGCCCGTCCTGTGTGTCTCTGTGTCAGGAGCAGAGCACAACAGAATTAGATTTCCTCTCACAGAGTTCCATCTTGTGGCAGAGAAGAAGCATTACAATGTACTGGTTTTGAAGAATCTGACTTTCATCTTTCACCTCTTCTGTGACGAGCAGAGCTGTCATGTGACTGCCAGTTTTTCACCCTCATCTTTTTGTTGAAAATCAGACCTAAACAGAATGTTTGTATTGATCACAGGCTCTTAAAAATGTGTTGTTTAAATCTATTTTGCATTTTTCTTGATTTTCAGACAATCCAAAAACTCAGTGTCCATGAAAGAGATAAATGTAAAACACCCCCAGCGTGATGACGTATTAGTAAGTGACACTAATCCACAGCTCAAAGGAATTTAGACATGTACATTAGATTTTCAGTTTATTTCATGGCTGTAGGTTAAATGTTTGCAAAGCCATACACATGATACAGAGCCTACATACAGCTTTAACTCCAAAAAGAATGAATATCAAAAAAAAAAATCATCCAGACAGGGAAGTGGGACCCTAGTGAATAAACATGCGTGTTTTTCAGTACGCTGTAGGCCTACTGTTTTGTTCTGCAGTGGATTAGATGAACACACAGTTCAAATACTTCACTTCCAAAAACAACAACAAACAAAAACTTATGATTCTAGTGAGTGTATTGTGCAGTAACGCAGTTCAATTAAGGTTAAAAATTGCTTTTAACTTGGGGCACTGGGGGCACTGCAGGGTCCCTCTCCTCACCATCCACAGCCCCGCCCCCAGTAGCAGCACCAACTTTGACCCTAGGGCGAAGGACAGGAGCAGGGTGAGCGGCTCCAGGCCCCCTGCGCACAGGGGTGGGGGTTGGAGAAAGTAGAGAGTGGCCTGGTCACGCCCCAGTGGATTGGTGGCAGCGCACGTATAGTGTGTGTGCGGGCGGAGGTCCTGCACGCGGCCCTCTGTGTGGTAGTGGGACCCTTCTGCCAGAGCCTCGGCCCCGGAGCCCTGCAGCCACACGTCCGGGTCCAGCCACTGCACATCCGGGAGGGGAGAGCCCTGCACCCGGCATACTGCGCTGTACCCAGAGTCAGAGCTGCCCTCTAGAGTCACGGAGAGGATCTTTGGAGGAGCTGCAGGCAGAGCACAAAACCATCAAATTAGAGCAAGGCAATTCAGTTTGTGTTTTCTTCTAAGACAAATATTGTAAGAAGTAGAATAGCTTATTAGCTGCAGTAGGAGATGCTTCTGGTCCTGTTCATGGTCCATGTGCTCAGCTTCCATTTCATTAGCCTCTCATATCCATGTTGAATTTGTAAAAACACAAACTCAAAATGCACAAATACAAAAGATAGAGACAAGATAGAGACCATCAACAGAGATAAGGGGCATTTACTTCGGCTCCCTCATGGGATTCTCTTCTCCAGAGAGCACCACACGATGGTAGGTGTGTTCAGTCTGATAGATCTGACAGATCAGTCACACTGAGCACACCTGGGAACAGATCAGAGGCCTGTCACAGCAGTCAGTAACACCTCTGAAGAAGAAGATATTTGTCTTATTAGAAGAAATTACGAAGTTTGCCATAAAATGCAGACAAAATGGATTTTCTTAATATAATATGGGTTAGGGCAACAGCTCTCAAACTTCTTAAACAAGTATCATAAAAAATATCTGCTTTCCAAGTCCCACCAGATCTAAACCAGGTCTATAACAGGACTCTTTCTGTTCTAAAGTTCTAAACAAATGAGGACAAAAATGTAAGATTAAATGAACTTTAAATGAGGCAAACACACAAACTGAAGAGACCTATGTCCCACCTGAAGGAGTGCATAAGCAGAACCCTTACAATATTTCACAATAAAGCTCCTGCTTGGTTTGTCTAATGTACTGAAAATCAGATACTAATCAATACTAAAACTAGTATTGCAACTAGATGCTTATTTGAGCAGGTATCAATACCAAAAATGTCCATTCACAGAACAGAAATAAACTCCTTTAACTTGTTTTCCTTGGGGCGCCTGGATGAATGATCACTAGCAGACCCCATAGTAAAAAAAAATTGCTCAAAATCTCTCAATTGCAATTCTGCACAAAAGAGAACAGTCACCCTCTGAATGCTGAGTCACAGCAGAAACTGTTTTAAAAAATCACATTCGTTTGTTGAAAGAAAAGTGTCAAAAGCGTCTCTCCTCTGTGTCCTGCAGCATCACAGCAGCGTCCAGGAAGAAGCAGGTAAACAAAAAGGCTTCACTCTTACTTCGTTCTCTTGTTTAGGTTGGTGATGACATGTACCATTCCCTCTAGGTAGGAGGGGTATTTCGTCTGGAAGGTCTTGTACTCCGTATGTTGCCACATATGGTGTAAAAAGCCTACAGCATCTCAAAGGGCCATAGCTAAAAAGAGGGTTTTTATTATCATTGTGGTACTGGAATTGGTATTGAGTATTTGGTCTATTCCTTCCTATGGAAATGAAGTTTGAAAAGTTTTGTATCATCAAAACGCAAGCTCCTGCTCAGAAAATAGAAAACCTGCGGAAAGGTCCTGTATATACTGCACTTACCTTCCACCCTCACTCTGGTGCCCATCTTGTCACTGTGCTCCTTGCCCTGGATTTCAACCTGGCAGTAGTAGCGGCCGCTGTCCTGCAGGGTGGCGCCATTGATGCGCAGGGACAGATCATGTTCACGTGGATTTCCTTCCAGACGATACCTATGCTTAAACAGAGCAGAGAACTCAGAACAGAATGATGAATCAGATAGTCCAGGGGTGTCAAGCTCAAATTCACAGAGGCAAAAATTAAAAACTGGTACTAACTTAAGTCGTGGGTCAGACTTCGTATTTATTGAAAAATGTCAACAACATCTGCATATTTTCTCTTCTTTTGAGATATGTAATGTTAAACCATTTCTTATTAAAATAAATGTTTAATAATAGTTTTGCTTAAACATTGAGTCCAGAACAAGCAAAATATAAAATAATAACAACATTTTACAATTATGTGTAAAATAATGTCTCTATAGCCTATCAGTAGCAGGTGAGCCAGCTCTCATACATGTTGATATGGTCTCGTGGGCCAAATATAATTATATTGTGGACCAAATTTGAGTTTGACATGTTTGAGACAGTCTGATGGAAGAGAGACTGCCAGTCAGCGGTCACGGCCTCCAGCAGTTTCCACTAGAGCAGGAGTCTCCAACCTGGAGCTCGGGAGAGACTAGCAGCTCTTCACTTCCCAGTAACTCACCAAGGGATTTCTGAATTACACATATTGTGTTGAATAAGTAAAATTTGGTGAATTAAATGTCTTTTACCATTGCACATGTATCATTTTGATGTCTAACTTTGTGCATTAATAAATGGATGACCAAATTTTCAAAACAAAAAACTGGGACACCCCTGGTTTGTGGTAGTTGGTAATAATAAAATAATGAAACGAGTGCATAACTAAGGAAAACTTTTATGCATTCATGACTAGTCACATTTTCTTCAGGTTTTGGTCATTTTCAAGCAGCTTTTCTGTATTTTCACTAAACAAATGACAATTAATGCCTCTACAGCTGGCAGGTATCAAATTGGTCCAAAATAGGGACACCTGGGACATTTCTTTTATAAAACTGGGACAAATCAGAGGTTTTGTATAAATTTTCTGGGACAGGGGACACAGGGCTAAAAACTGGCACTGTCCCGGGTGAATAGGGACGTCTGGTCACACTAATCTAACTGTACATTATCTAAGGCTTGCTGTGGCTCGTTTATATACTAAATTTCTTGTGACCGCTAAAACTGGTAGCTCTCAGCATGGTATGATAGCAGCACGGTGGCTGAGTGTCTAGCACTCATGCCTCACAGCAAGAAGGTTCTGGGTTCGATCCTCAGGTTGCCCTTGCCTTTCTGTGTGGAGTTTGCATGTTTCTCCTCATGTATGGATGGGTTTCCTCTGGGTGCTCCAGTTTCCCCCATTAACCCAAAACATGCTCCAGGTCTCCAGAACAGTTGATAGTTAAGATCAGTTAAATACAATCAATTCAATCATTGTGTCTCCTTGGGCAAGACACTTCACCTGCATTGCCTAGTATGAAAGTGGTGTGTGTGTGGTCAGAGGGACTGATGGTGCCGATTGGCATGGCAGCTGTGCTTCTGTCAGTGTGCCCCAGGACAGCTGTGGCTACAATAGTAGCTCACCATCACCAAGTATAGAGTGAATGAATAATGCTGAATAGTGCTCTGTAAAGTGTCTTTGGGGACAGAAAATGTCTGTGAAAAGCGCTATAGACTCTCTGGAATTTTCGTTTTGTAAAAGTAGCTCACTGGAAGAAAAAGGTTGGAGAGCCCTGCACTAGAGCCACTGTCTCAAGATCAGGCTTTGACAAAATGGTAAAAGATTCGAGCTTCAACAGTTTGTTTCAACGTAATATCATTTTAAAGTTGTACTATAACTTTTCTACTGAAAGGTTCACCATCGAATTGTGAGTGTGAGTTGAAAAGGCTTTAAGATTAATATAGCAAGTTCAACCTTTGTAGATTTCTATTTTGGATATTTCTTTCAAAACAATGAATCAGGTTACACAGGCCCCTGCCCTCCATCTGCCCTCCAGCCTGTGTCCACACAGCTGGTGAGGACTGTGTTACCTCTGGTCCTGGTGCAGCTCCGGCTCACAGCCCTCTGCTCCACTCCGACTCACACAGTGGAACACCACGACAGAGTCAGCCCCGTGGCCCCGCCTCCAGCTCACCTGCAGCGAGGCATGATGGGAGTGCAGGGGGTGGCTGAAGGAGCAGGGTAGCACCACAGGGTAGCCTTCCATAGCTCTGACCTCCGCTTGGACCACTAGAGCCCAGCCATCATCACCTGCAAGAACTACAGAGGGCCTGGGTTAAAACAAGGGCTGCAGTTAATGAAGACATATAGTATCTGCTATAAAGGTATAATCTATGACCCCCGTGGATCATGTTATCATGTCTATAATCATGTATATATATACACACACACACACACACACACACACACACACACACTATACTACACAATGTTGCCAAGTTGCTTTAGCTGAAGCATATCATAGGTTATAAAAATAAAACTGGAGCAGGAGTAAGTACAGAGCAGTGGACAACTAAACAAATTATATTTTTTATTAATTATTATCTCTTGTAAATTGAATTTTCAAAAACACATTTTAACCAAATAAAGTTTGAAATATGGTGCCTGAAGAGATTTAAAGGTGTTGTAAAGTTTCCCCATTCGATAAGTTACAGCAGGAGAATTTAGAGAGAGCCATGCACATGCATATGATTTCTGTCACAAAATGGAAATGGAAATGTGAGTAGTAGTCAGCGAGTGCAAGAGTTAGTGTCTCTGCTCCTGTGGGCTGTGGAATTGCTCAAGTCTTGTTACAAATTCACGTTTGGGGTGTGGGACAGTCTTTAGGATGTGGAAAGGTCTTTAGGATGTGGGGCAGATGCTTGAAAGCCCAGTGTGATATAGAGCTGCTGCTGAATGCTCCAATGCAGTGGGAAACTTGTGTGAGTTCAGGCCAAAGAGTCACAGAAAAAAACTGTTGACTGTTGAGTATGGAGTAAGAACGCTTTCAGAAGTATTTGTGCACATAGAATAGAAATCCGTGCATATTTGGGGATTCCGTGCATATTTGGCTGTAGTTGAGCATAAAATAAATATTCATACTCTTAAATGAGTCCAGTCGTACATAAAATATATTGTGTGCATTTTATCCATCAGAATACGAATTGAAACGTTACAACGTCAAGAATTACAATTACGAAATAAAAATTTACTATTACGCTTTCATCAGTACGAATACGAATTCACAGACAGGACTTTACTGTCAAAGATACATCATCAGTTCACAGACATTATTTATGGAGCAGAAGAAACATCGATCGAGATCAAGACTGCGCATGCACTAAAGTTGTAGCAGAGAGTAAAAACTGAGTAATGGCATAACAAGGAGCTACAACAGCGATCAACAGGTGGGTTCATTCAAATTTATTGTAAAAATGTCTTGTCTTGCCACATTGAATTGGGGAACCGAATGCTGCTGTGTAATATTGTGTAGAAACACCTCCTCTGAAAGGGAAATTGCATCTATATCTTAGTAGATAACATAGTGGAGCTAGTTGGCAAAAATCACACATAAAGTTATCCCAGGGCTAATTAGCAAATATCTGCCTTCTCTGCTTGTTTAAATTAAAACATTCACAGCTACAGCCACAGTGAGCAGTCAGTCAGTCTTAACCTTCATCTCAGCTGCATTTCTTGCATGAATCAATCCGCAGACACAGGTCACTGAAGTAGGCTGACCAAAAGTTCCTCGGGACACTGAAATGTTCCAGTTTACATCAAACACTGTCAAACTGTCCTGGTTACAGACAGTGGGTGAGTTATGAGTTATAATGACTTACAAAGAACTAGCAAATCCATCCACGACACGACACGGTGACGTTATACTTACTGGTAAAATACATAACAAGGTGTTGCCTGTAAACATGAACATTAATTGATGCTGGAAACTGTATTAAACTGTAATGTTGGCTGTGATGTCTGTAACAAGACAAGACATTTTTACAATAAATTTGAATGAATCCACTTGTTGGTCGCTGTTGTAGCTCCTTGTTGTGCCGTTACTCTGTTTTACCCTCTGCTACAACTTTAGCACATGCACAGTCTTGATCTCCCCTTGAGCCGTCACCTTATCGTGGTGGAGGGGTTTGAGTGCCCGAATGATCCTGGGAGCTATGTTGTCGGGGGCTTCATGCCCCTGGTTGGGTCACCCAAGGCAAACAGGTCCTGGGGTCAGACAAAGAACGGTTCAGAAGCCCCTATGTTGAGTGCACCAACAAGGCCAGATACGTCGCCTGGATTGGCGTCACCAGGGTCCCACCCTGTAGCCAGGCCTGAGGTGGGAGCTTGACAGCGAGCACCTGTTGGCCAGGCACAGCCCGAAGGAGTGACTGGTGTGGGCCTGCTCATTGCCCCACAGCTCAGCCGCCGTGTGTTGGAGTTCACCCCGGTGAACGAGACAGTGCACCGACCGGGGACTCCGTTGTTCTGCTGGGGGATTTCAATGCCTATGTGGGCAACGACAGTGACACTTGGAGAGGGTTGATAGGGAGGAATGGTCTCCCTGATCTGATCTCGAGCAGTGTTCTGTTACTGGACTTCTGTGCTAGTCACGGTTTGTCCATAACGAACACCATGTTCGAGCACAAGGGTGTCCATAAGTGCACGTGGCACCAGGACACCCTAGGCCAGAGGTCGATGATCGACTTTGTAGTCGTGTCATCTGACCTCCGACCGCGTGTCTTGGACACTCGGGTGAAGAGAGGGGCTGAGCTGTCAACTGATCACCACCTGGTTGTGAGTTGGGTTCGCTGGCAGAGGAGGAAGCCGGAAAGACCTGGCAGGCCCAAGCGTGTAGTGAGGGTTGTTCTTTTGCCCATTTCTGCATCTTCATCGCCAGTCTCATCTCCTTCTCGCACTTCTGTATTTTAAGTTGAGTTATTTTCCTTTTTATAAGATTATTGGCGGGTTTAGATCTGTACTGTTTGATTTTGTCTTAAAAGTAACTCTTGATGAACTTCCATTGTTCCTCTGTGGGGGCTATTGCATCTTTTCCTCCATGTACCATCCCCTTCCTTATATATTTCTTGAGGACATTTCGGACAGTAAATAGACGTGTTTGGGCTCTCTTCGGGTTAGCTTCTTCTTCCAGCACCTTTTTACTCCAGAACTCTTTAAGCTGTTTTAATGTTATGAATCGGGACATTGTGATATTTTAGTGTTATTTTTTCAGCTACTATTTATTACAAATTGTATTGTTTTAATTAATTTTTTTTTATTTTGGTAGGGTGGATTATTATCCAGTCTTATTATTATTTTTGCAGTCTGTTCTTTCCTTTTTTTTTTTTTTTTTTTTTTAAATAATAGTAAATTGTTTTAGAATAATTTGCTTCCTTGAGATTCCTCTTCTTTAGTTTTTCTTTTGTGAATTATCTAACTTTTACAGTCTACCTGTAGGCACTAGGGGCTATTTGATCTCGAAGGGCTTCTCCCACGTGCTCACTTCCTGTCCTTAGTCTGATTTCTAAAAAGAAAAAGAAGTTTAATTCAGATAATATTTGAAGTACAGCTTTGATTAAGATTATTTATTTACAATTTATTTTGACAATTCTAGCATTGTCTTCTAATAGCAGTTTTATTTTGTAACCATTAATTAATTTTTATCCATAATATCTAATTGCAGGATGTTAAACTCAAATGTCATCATTGTTTAGTTTTTTGTTTTTTTGTTTTTGTTTTTGAGAAATATTCAGTATGAAATAGTAATTCATGTAGAGCTATTTTAACGCAAACTCTTATAGAAAATGTATGTTAAAAATAGTACTAGAATCAGAAAAGAGTTAAGATTTGAGCAAAAGACAGATTTGGAGCAGCAGACTAAACCAGGGCAGAACCAGGAATAAACCAAAACCAAAGCAGAACTAAAGGACTAAATTAGAAATTATGCAGGGCCAGGACAAAGATAGATTGGAATGAAAACAGAACTAAACCAGAGCCAAATTAATACCAACCCAAACAAGCTTTAAGACAGTGTTGGTCTATGACTAAAGTAGGTCTAACTCAGAAGTAAACCAGGACTAGACCAGGTTCAACCAAGAACCAAGCTAGGTCTAATCCATTCATACGTCATTCTCTAACACTAGATAAAACTTGAAAACCAGCTCTGAACTAAAACCAAATCAGACCTAAACCAGGATCAACCCAGAATTAGACCAGGATTGAATCGGGACTGACTGCAGTTGTGTTATCATTTGCCCTTTGACTCCCTCAGGACCGGATCGATGCCAGAACTAGACCTGGACTTGAACCAGGACTAGACTAGGGCTGCACCGGGACTAAATCAGGTCCAAAACACTGGTCCTGTCTGCTCCTCCAAATCTAGAATCCACAACATCTAAATCTGATCAACGTAAGCTTACAAAAACATGAATTTATTTTGACGGTAATCATTAAGTGACAACATTCAAGCAAATAAGCTTCTGTTATGAGCCACATCAATTGAAAAGCTTCTAAACTGTATATAAAATAAAACAGAATACACAGAGCAGGGCTAATGTTAGATCTGTGAGGTAAGAATACATTAAAGGGGGAGCAAATTATGGAGCGTGACAGTTTAGACAGCTCAAAAATGTATAAATGTAATAAGGGAATACCGGAGTAGAGATTTTGATTAATTTTGACAACTGTAAAGACGTATGGATTTCAACGCAAAATAACAACTATTTTTTGGTCACACTTTAAATTAGGGTGCACCCCTCAGTCATTCAATAAACATCTGCAAATTTCCCTGCTAAGTCATTCAGCACTCTTTCAGCCCCATCACTCTTCAGAAATAAAATGTTAGATTTAATAAAAATGTTCAGCTAATTTCACACAAGCCTGTTGTTATTAATGTGAAAGAACTTTATCAGTTTAATTGTGACAACAGGTTATCCCTAAATTCAAAGCAATAATGTCAATTTGATTCAAAATAAATGTTGCTTTAAGACTACTCAAAGCTTCTCTTTTTACCAATTATCATTGATTAATATATTAATATTGTTTTAGAATTTTTCAACAATATTGTCTATTTAAACTATAAATCGTACATAAAAGCTACAGGCAATCTTAGTCAGCATTAAATTAACAATACGAGGTTAAAATTTAAGGAAAACAAGCAAATACAAAATAGGTTAAAGTTATTCTATACCCTAAATGCAATTAAATATAATTAAATTAGAATAACGTTGTATTTCTCAAGAGTGTATCCATGCCCCATTACACATTTCACATATCATCATCTC